ACTGTAATAATCAGGATTTCCTACTTCCTAAAAATTAAATTACTTGTATAATCCTCTATTTTTAATATGTTTGTCTTTATAAACTGATAATAGTACATTTTTTTAAAATCTATAATTGGTTGTTAATAATGTATGTTTTGTATTAAATAAGTTTTAATTGTTGCACTTAATTTTTAAGAAAAAATTAAGATAAGTTGTTGTATACGTTTTTAAAGCGGTAGAATAATGAAGAAATATGATATTTTAATTGCAAATCTTTCAAATTTTCTTTATATAAAAGTAAATGTTTTGAAAAGGACTTTTATTTAATAAAAGAAGTATGATATTATATTTCTATGTAAAAATGTTCAATTAATTTTATTTTTATGTAAAAATTTTTTAAAAATATTTTTTATTAGTAGAAGGAGAGAAAACCAACGCTCTCGTGATGAAGATATTAAAGACAAGGATAAAGAGAAGGAAGTAGAAGCTATTAAAGAACGATATTTAGGTTTGGTGAAAAAGAAGCGACGAGTTCGAAGACTGAACGATAGAAAATTTGTTTTTGACTGGGATACTTCAGAAGATACTTCTGTTGATTACAACAGTATTTACAAAGAGAGACATCAAGTGCAATTTTTCGGTAGAGGCAACCTTGCAGGTATTGATATTAAAGCACAGAAGCGGGATCAGAGCAAATTTTATGGTGAATTATTAGAAAAGAGACGCACAGAGGCTGAAAAAGAGCAAGAGAAGTGAGTAATTGTTGCTGAAATGATTAGTATTTCTTTTTAATTGTAGATTTTCAATTTATAGAATTTCAATATTTGAGTAGATTTATGGTACAGATAATATTCTATAATATAGGATCCTATTTTACTTTTCTCAATTTTTCCTATTTAAAACTGGACAAGTAAGAAAAATTTCAGATAAAAATTGTGTACTTGTTTTTTATTTCAAAAATCTTGAATATGTAAAATTATTAAAAGTAAGTGTTTTTCTTACAATGCAAGGAATTTAAGTGTTTCCCTCCATTGATTTTGATAAGCTTTTAATGTTATTTCGTAGACAAAAATAAGACGTTTTTTTTATTTGTCCAATCACACTTTTATCAAATAAAATCTCTCAGAAAAAAAATTCATTTTTTCTTTTGAAGTGAATGTATCATCAAAATTATGTTTCTCAATATATAATAATTTTTATCTAAATAAATATTTTAAATATATTCTTCTATTTTACAAGGTAGTCTTCATAGCCATAAGTCAAATGATTCAATAATCTTTATTCATTTCCAACTCTTATATGATAACTCTGGTTTTAAACCTCTTTTTTAATGTATTTTTAAATAAATATCGATAAGTAATTAGTTTGTCTCAATAAGCATTCTTTATACTGAATGCAAATAGAATATTTTGATTAAATTAAAATAAAAAAAAAATAAAATTGTCTTTTATAATATTAATTTTATGTTATATTGCTACTATTACTAGTTACAAGAATTATTTGCTGTAAATTATGTATTTTTGTAATTTTAAGAATGAGATTGAAAAAAGTGAAACGGAAAGAAGAGAAACAAAAATGGGATGACCGACACTGGTCCGAAAAGGCTTTGAACGAGATGACAGAACGTGACTGGCGTATTTTCAGAGAAGACTATAATATTACGATAAAGGGTGGTCGCATTCCTGATCCCATCCGATCCTGGAAGGAATCTGGCTTCCCAAAGGAAATCCTAGACATAATTGATAAAGTTGGTTACAAGGACCTCACGCCCATTCAGCGACAAGCTATTCCTATCGGTCTGCAGAATCGTGATATTATCGGCGTCGCTGAAACTGGTTCAGGAAAGACTCTAGCTTTTTTGATTCCTTTGCTACTATGGATTACTAGTTTGCCGAAAATTGAGAGGCTCGAAGAAGCGGACCAAGGACCTTACAGTATCATTTTGGCACCTACCCGGTATCAATTATCTTTCTAATTATTTTGTTTTTATTTGTTTAAAATTGCACATATTAGTTAATATTGTTCGATTATATACATATAATTGCTTCAATTTTAAGAACGTTTTGATTCGTATAAATAAATATTTGCATTGTATTGTGTTTACAAATTACAGTGAGTTAGCACAACAAATAGAAGAAGAGACCAACAAATTCGGTCAGCCGTTGGGCATCCGAACTGTTGTGGTGGTAGGTGGTCTATCAAGGGAAGAGCAAGGTTTCAGACTGCGAATGGGTTGTGAGGTAGTCTCTGCTATATATTATTATCGATTTCATCAACCATTTCGTTAAAAATGGTGAAATTTATTGGAATTGCAGGTCTATAATTAAAATATTTAATTACAAATTTTTTCTTTTAGATTGTTATTGCTACACCTGGTCGATTGATAGACGTCTTAGAAAATCGATATCTCGTGCTAAATCAGTGTACTTATATCGTATTGGACGAAGCCGACAGAATGATAGACATGGGTTTTGAGCCAGGTACTTTAAAGATCTATAACAAGCTCCCCAAATAACACAAAGTGTAAAATTATGATATAAACGTTTAATGCCCGTTTCTACTAATATAGATTAACTTTAATGTCGGTTTAACTTACTTTTTAATTCTTAGAACTAGAAAAAAATGAAAAGTTACTAGTTAAACCAAGATTAAAATTAAACTACATTGGTAGAAATGGACATAAGTTGTCTTTTAAACGCAAAAAACGTCTTATGATCTGACTTTAGACACTCTTTGTTGTTTGAATATATTCTATAATTAAAAAAAAATGCAATTTGCTTATTTGATTTATTAACATTCTTCTTTCAAAAGACGCGATATTTTTTATCATTTTATGTTTAATGAAATTTTATTTTACGAATATTTTTTTTTATATTAATTAGACAGATTTTATTTACTTTTTGTTATAGAATCTTGTTATGTAATATATTATACATTCACGCACTAAATATAAAATATTTTTAAAAATAATGAATTTTTTTTTTAGATGTTCAGAAAATTTTGGAGTATATGCCTGTGACAAATTTGAAACCAGATAATGAGGACGCAGAAAATGAGGAAAAGCTTTTGGCCAACTACAATACAAAGAAGAAATACAGACAAGTACGAGAAGTTTTTAACTTTATTATATTCATTTAATAGTTTTTATTCGTTAGATTAGGACTTCCTAAAATTGTTTGAATTTTTTATGACAAAAAATATCCATGACTTATCTAGCTTTAGTAAACATGAAAAAGGAAAGAGAAAAATTAATTTATTTATGTACTATTTTACTCTTTATTTATTAATTTTTTATTGAATATAATTTTATAAATCTATTTTTCAAAAACAAAGTATGAATGCGCTTGTTTCCTATTTCTGTGATGACAGCTTCCACATGTAAGTCATTTTTAAATACAATAAATTTGATAATTGTAATTTATTTCAAAATTTAATTGATTTTTGTTATTATTCTCAAAATCTAATATTACACATGTACAAAGTTATAAAAAAGCATACACGAGTTTTGTGAAGTAATGAAGTACAATTTAACATTCTGAAAAATCTTGCGATCCATCAAACATCAGCTAGCAACTTATTCTTTAGGAATCCCTGATTTACATAATTTAGATAATATGCACAAATGAAAGCGATTTGCGATCAAGTAATCCAATATTTTACATCTGGTATTGTTTAAGCTGATCGTCTTTCGTTTATGAAAATGCTTGTCATTTGTATGTCTACTAGGAATCCAAAGGCGATTGAGATTTATATAATTAATGGCCACCTTTTGCTTCTAGACGGTGATGTTCACTGCCACAATGCCACCGGCTGTAGAACGACTTGCTAGGACTTACCTGAGGAGGCCGGCGGTAGTGTATATTGGCAGTGTCGGTAAACCAACAGAACGCACTGAGCAGATAGTTCATATAATGGGTGAAGCTGACAAGCGAAAGAAACTTATGGAAATACTTAGCAGAGGCGTCGAGCCGCCTGTCATCATATTTGTCAATCAAAAGAAGGGTGCAGATGTTTTAGCGAGAGGCTTGGAAAAATTAGGAGTATGTAACTCAAATTTGAAAGTGATAAATACAATGCTTTGTAAATTCACACTGAATAACGTAGCTTAAACAGTTCAATGATTCTTTAATACAATTGGTCTTTGTCTTTAGTTCTTAGCTAAGGATCTAAATATAGAAATTCATGTAAAGTATCACTGAATGTTCTACTGAGTTGTTTTGTCTGCTGAACACTGCCCTTGCGGCAGATCTTATTCCATTTTGTAGCATTCAGTTTCTCAAATTTGTAATTTTTCTTGACGAGAATTCAGGATTGCAAAAATATAGAAACTGTAAAATATAAGATCTAAGTTTCTTGGTTTGTTCTGTTCTAGTATAATGCTTGTACTCTACATGGTGGTAAAGGTCAGGAACAGCGAGAGTATGCTCTGGCATCTCTGAAAAGCGGAAGCAAGGATATCCTGGTGGCCACTGACGTTGCAGGACGAGGTATCGACATTAAGGATGTATCAATGGTTATCAATTACGATATGGCTAAAACTATTGAGGGTAAGTGATTCAATTTTATCATCCCTTCATATTATTTGGATCCGAACGTTCGTACATGGCCAAAATGTTGCTATCACTTTAGTTAACATCTGACTTGCTTACGTAACGATTTTCATATTTTTTATTTATTATTTACAGATTACACGCATAGAATTGGTCGAACTGGCCGCGCAGGCAAAGCTGGCCTTGCCATTTCCTTCTGCACTAAAGATGACAGCCATTTGTTCTATGATCTTAAACAAACGATACTCGCTAGTCCAATATCTACTTGTCCGCCGGAGCTGCTTAATCATCCAGATGCCCAGCATAAACCGGGAACGGTAGTTACGAAGAAGCGACGGGAAGAGAAGATCTTTGCCTAATCTTTCTTCGCGGCAGGCACTTTGTGATTCGTAAGTTCAAAATCTTTAATTAGAGAGAAGGAAAGAGGAGAGAGAGAAAGTTCTTTGTTTGGTCCTAAAGAAAAGAAAATTTAAGGATTTGACTATGCTTCATAAATTAGTAATAATTTGGATTCCCAAATACAAAAACAAAGCAACAAGAGTTGTTTTCTACATCAATGATGTAAATAGCTATTTACAATGTGCATACAATAAAATTATTTGAATTATAACATGACTAGTATATAACAATTTCTATAATTATGGAGGTGGTGGTGATGGAGTTGTATAGTTACTGTCAACCCTACACTCTTCCTCCCAATTATCTGGTATTATTAGCTTCGTGAGCTCCACGAATTTGTCAAGAGGACATACAACGTCGCATCCAGGTATTGTCATCGGATATGGTTCGTGAGCTGTCGTATTTCTTAGAAATATCTGTAACAGAGACATTTCATTATTCAAGAATGCTAAAAATTATTTATTAACATCAAACCAATAAAATTCGAAATACTATTAGGAAAGAGTCATAAATATCATTAAAACTTTCAAAAAATTCACACATTTTCTATATAAATGTATTTAAAAAAATTACCAACGTCTAAAAAATAATCAAGACTTAATATTTTCAAATCTTTTCCATTTTGAATAATATCCGAAGTATTTAGAAATTCTGACCGAATCACTTTTGGAAAATTAATACCTACCTGAACATTCCATTCACCTTCGTCTTCGTGCAGCTCTATCATCGTCATAATGTTAAAATAGGGCATTTGATTACGCCAAATGTGCATGGTGTCTAGTAGGGTGACGATAGTGCTATCATGACCGATATACATAAACATTTTTCTTTTTTCAGGCTGTAAAGTACCATTCTTTTTCGCTAACATATCGTTGATGAATTTCTTCAGCATGGGACCACCCTTTAGTCTGCGGAATTCATCGCTATAAGTATTAAGCTGCAGTTCAAATAAGGTCAAGAGTTCCAATTTTTCAGGATAGTAATCTTTTGTCCATTCTGGCAAGTCCAAATTCATATATTTCTGTAACATTTGGATAATTAAAACTTGATTTTTTTGGACTGCTAAGTACATGTGCAATTTTAGTCGCGTTACAGAATAGCCTTGGCAGTTATCTGCAATTATTTGAAAAAGATTAGATAGTGTACCTCAGATGTCAACGTAGCATAAAGTGAACTAGCATCGTCAACAGTCGTGATCGGCATGCCCGTGAAGTTCGAAAGTTCGGTGAACAATTGCTTACTATCCTCATGCACCTTCTGGACTTCCGGCAAATCGTTCGCTGACGAGCGCAGTTGTGTATATTTTGGACACTTGTTCCATATTAACAAAAGCTAAAAGATTTACGGGTCATTTACTTACAGTAAAATAAAGAAACTGATGATTCATTGTTACAACTATATTGAATTATGTGTAACACAAACCATCGTTACGATTTATACAAGCTGTATATGCATTGAAATACATTAAAAAGTAAAAAAAAAGAATCGATATGTCTGAGGTCTGAGCAAATATTTACAAAAATACTTTACCGTGTCGTCTTGACGTTCCTGATAAAACAGTGTAACTGGTTGCCAAGGTAGATCAGATACGAACTGCTGACTCTTGTTAGGTTTCCACAAAGCAGAGGACTCCAATTGGCCCGACATTTTCGTACGATCTACATCAGTGGTCTGCAGATAAAATATGTCGGGATGATATGTCGAGCTCAGAAAGCAATCATAACGCTTTCGCAGAAACGATCCTTGATTATACTGGTTCCTTCTTCCTTCCTAGTTTAATTAATTACAGTTAAGTTTGATTCGTTAAACAAATTTGTTTAAAAACAAGAGGCACAATATTTACATTTGTTAGCTGACCCCAACCATACGGCTCCATACTATCATTGATATGAGGATCATTTGGATAAGTATCCACAGGTGCCCTATCTCCATGTCTTAATACCTAAAAACAGGAAAATATATGTATATTATACAACATTAATTTTATTCTTGAAAGCAAATCAATAATAATGATCAATTAGTCATTTTCACAAAGGATACTCAATAACTTTTGACTTTGGAAAATCTCTAGCTATTTGATTATTATGTTATACGCGATGAATGACAAAGATTACATACAATGAAATTAAATAAAAAAAAAAAAAGGTAATTATACAGATCAGCACCCCGTGGCTCAAAATAAAATTAGGCTATGAATTGATCTGTATAATTCAAATTGATATTAATTGACTGTTGAGCTTTGCTGAATGTTTTATGCTAATTAATCTTCACTTTCTTTTAACATTTACAAATCATAATTTAATATTCGATAGGGGTGCGTTCCGGGTTGCGCATGAAACGCATGGACTGCATTACTATTGCGCAGCGCTTTGAAATCGTTTCATTGATAAATATTCAGATAGAGGAAGCCAGCGTCGATAATTTTAACCTTGACTATGTTGTGAAGGTCATAAAATAATCTCCAACTGCAAGTTTTAGCTGTCTTTCGTTCATTAAAAAATTCTTAATAAGAGAAGTTTAAGAAATATTGTCTTATCTCTCTAGTATATACAGTATTGAATACTAGATATTTTACACCTCTTACTTACGAGGCTATTGACTTTCCACGCAAAACAAGGACCACCCCATCTC